TGAGAAAGATAATACCAACAGTAACAACAATAATAAGAATAATAATGAGTATCTAATGGTAATAAGATAATCATAATGACAATAACAATAATAATTATCACATAAACATTATAATAAGAACAATAATAAAAAACATAATCATCATAATTCTCATATTATTATATCCTTACTATTATTGTTGAAGCTGTTGTTCTAATGATCATTTATACTATTATCATTTCTTAAGATTTGAAATTTCGATCACAATTATTGCGCTTCTACCTGTAAGAGAACCAGCTTGTTGTCTTTAAATTTCTTCGCCTTCTTAAAGTTTATTGTGCAATTAAGAATGGTTTCTCTTTTATGAGGAAAAACAAAGTGTCTAATTGCCTAATCTCCCAATTGGCTAATCACCTAATTACCCATTGATGTAGACAGCATTATCTGGTTAATTCCCAGTGGTCTTGTCTTCCATTACCTGTATATCTCAAGTTCTTCCAATTCCCTGGTTGGGAGCGAAAACTCGTGCGAAATGTTAGTTACTTTATCATGTTTTCACTTGTGATCGTGCGTTTTACTGCAATTTCGTTGTTTTCTTTTCTCGTTAAAATGTTTTGTTTTCTCATTCTTTCACACCTGTTCTTGTAAGAGCTTTTATTATTATTATTATTATTTGAGCGAATACCTCTCTTTGTCCGACCCTTCTATGCATTTTTGCGGTTATATGTATGCGTGTGTATGTAGATACATTTTTTTTTCTTTTCTTTCTTTCCTTTTTTTGCTGGAGTAAGGCAAATCCAGTTCAGCGTTCTTGTGACATCGGGCCGTTCGTGTTACATGACTTCGGAGTTTTTTTTCCACGTTCTGTTAACATACTGCAGACTCAGGTAACTAATGAGACGGTAAAACAGCGTGTGTCTTGAAGTCACATTTCTCTCCCAGTGCACTAGACGCTGAAGTTAGTTTTCCGAATAGAATGTGACTTTTGACATGCACATGACATACTGGTTGAGAAGGTACGTGATTAAACTACAGGATCATGTCAACGCTCCTCATTAAAAGCAAAACGGAAAGGAGGTAATGTGAGAGAGATGAAATACAGCCGTTGTGGAAAAAGAAATAAAACCCGAGACTGTCTCGATATGTTTCATATTTATTTGGACATCATAATGAAGTAAAAAATGTATGTGTATTTGTGTGTATATATACACACATATATACAGATAAATGTGTGTATGTATATGTATATGTACACACACACACATACACACACACATACACACACACACACACACCCACACACACACACACACACACACACACATATATATATATATATATATATATATATATATATATATATATATATATATATATTCACATGTATATATCAATACATGCATACATAGATGAAAACACAGCCAAAGGACGTGAGTTCTTTCACAACACGGCAACCACTCCAGATATTATTTCGTCCTAATATTTTTTTTACCTAGAAATAATGTTTATTTTTTAAGTATAAATTATTTGTTAGATTTTATGTATTCTCATGAAACATGAAAAAATACAACAGACACACTTCATTATTTGTTCAAATGATGATTCTAACCATAGTAAAGTTAATTGAAATTAAGAGAAAATGAAGAAGAAAAGCGAGAACCAACCAACAAAAAAACAATCATGATATCAACGACGATAACGAAAAAAAAAATCAACACCAATACACAGCTGTTCGAAGTAACCTGCGTAGAAAAAGAAGAAGAAAAAACATACAAAAAAATAGTTCAGATACAAGGAAAGGTTTACAGTTTCCATCCAGGAAATCCCTTGCACGTGGGAGCCTCCGGGCACAATGCATGAAAGATAATACTTGCTTTGCTTCCTAATGGTCATCGACGCCATATTTAAGTCCAGCTCGCCGTTGCTGCCAACACAGAGCGTCGAGTCTGCGGTGGAAGAGGGACCTCTGCTTCTCGTCTGTGAAATGGCCTCGTTCGCACTGCGCTCGTGTTTTGTTTTGGCTGCGCTGCTGATGGTGAGATATGTGCTTGTTATGATGTAGATATATACACACATATATATGCATACACATATGTATATGTATACATTTATGTTTATTCACATTAATACATATATACATGTATACATATATATACATACATACATACACACAAACACACACACATATCTATCTATCTATCTATCTATATATATATATATATTGTCTGTGCGAGTGCACGCGCAATTGTACATGTATGTAACACACTGCATTTGAAAATACACATGTATGTGTATTTAGTATTTAATGTGTATAAAAAACATGGATATATTTATACATGCGTACATACTAATACATTATATTATCTCTTAGGCAAGTTTTGTTTGTGGATTGGGCCCCGTTGGACCAAAGCCAGGCCGATGCCCCTCACCTATATCCCCGAACTTACCATTCCCGTAAGCACACACATTATTTCATCGTTTAATACACAGCGTGTTAATTATGAAAGCAAATATTTGGCATTCGGAAGACAATGTCATTCTCAAGTTCGCACATCACAACACTGGTTCATGTATCAGTGTATTAGATCAGTGTATGGGGGAAGCCTGTTTTGAGTCCTATTTTCTCCCTTGCAACAGCCCTTGTGCTCACGAATCGGACTGCCCAGGCACCCTTAAGTGCTGTCCAACGAGTGCATCTGAATTCACCGGTCGAGTGTGCATGGAGCCCTTTTTTGGGTGACGCAACAGCCTCTCACTTTAAACACGTGGCTCGCTGATAGCTCCGCCGAAACATAGTGCCGCGTATTTCCTATTTATATTCAGTGTAATAAAACATTGTTTATTGGACTTAGCGCTGCTATTGTTTGTGTTTGTATTGACTGAATAATAAAGGGATATATATATATATGGTCTCAATATTTACTCAAAAACTCCTATTTTCTTCAGAGCATTATAGAAAATATCTAGAAAAAGTTATCATGATAATTTCCAAGAAATATATGCAAATGAATTTAGAGGTTAAGCAATTCCTAATTTTTCCATTGCCGTGATATATATATATATATATTATATATATATAATATATATATATATATATATATATATATATTTTTTTTTTTTTTTTTTTTTTTTTTTTTCTTTCTTTCTTTTTTTTATGGAAAAACATATCCAAGTAAACAAGCGGAACACATAAATATCTAAGAACAATTTATGTATCATCATTATTTTGACGGGAGAAGCGACAACAGTATTGATAAGAAACGGTGTATTTTTCCCCCCTTTTTTTCTTTTTCTTTGAGTATCTATACTCCACTCTTTTTAACCGACAGGAAAAAGCTCTTACAGGCCAGTGATGACTGGTGACAGGCAAACAGAAAGATGATAATTATTTAACAGTTGGGTGGTTGGTGAGGATAATCATTTGAAATTTAACGGCTTTATTCACACACGTTCACCGGTCTCCCAATTGCTTCTTCGCCTCGACAGAAAAAAAAGGTTTTGTCTTTATCACTACGAGCTTCTATAAAACCTATCTCTGCCTCTCTCTAATATTTTGTACGTGTGAATAGCCACCTATCTATGTTCTGAAATAAAATATTCTGAAAAGTGCCACCCATTCAACATTACAGTTTATCCTCTGCCTATCAATCATTCAAATGCATTCATAAATCTCTGTCCAACTCCAAACAAATTCATTTTGTTTCCCAACTTACGGTTTCGCAACAAGACCTTTTGCGCCATAACACCGGCTCCTCGGTGGATAAAAGGGCAGCGCTTGGCCCCTTGATGCTTCAGTTCAGATCCGTTCTACGTCGCTTGCTCATCCGGCACAGTTGGTTAGGAGTTCCATGATGACTTTTCGAGGAATAAGTGTGTGCGTGGTGTTTGTCGCCGTGATGCTGATGACGGTTGGTTTTGGATTTTTAGCCTTTTAGCATAAGTTTTTCATGGATTTATTCTTGTGTAATGTATATTGTGTGTATATTTATGCTATATATGTATGTGTGTGCATGTGCATTTACATGTGCGTAGGTATGCTTCTTAATCAATCAAGAATATCATAAATCCGACAACCAAGGATATAGGATCTACTGCACCCATTCCTTTCTGTTCCCCTTTCCTAACTCTGCCGGCGTTAGTGCTCTGCCCAGACGAGCACCGAACAGGAAGTTGAAACGGACTCCGTGAAACCCGGTTCCTGTCCTCCTATCACGGCGTCACAGCTTGAACAGCAGGGGTAGGATATTTTTGTCTTAATCTCGTTCTTATTCTTACTTTCTTATTATTGTTCTTAATTCTTATGAGTATCCATGTTAGTTTCCTTAAGGCACAAAAAAAAAATGTCTTTCCTACTAATGACACGTTTACTATTAACAAAATGATCATTGTCGCAATTTTTATAAAGACACTGTTGCCATGATTGTCAATATCATCTATTAATGTCTTCGATATTATGTTTTCAGACCACGGTTATTATCAGTGGTATTATCACCATCTTCACCCTCACCCTCACCATCACTATCATGCAATCCATCACTGTTATCATGCTTAAGTATCAATCATTATCACTGTCGTTATTGGCAATTTTTTGTTACACTATTTTGCTTTTATCTTTTTTATCATCACATCATGCAGCCGCAGATCTTGGAAAATTCTTTATAAGCCACTGTGAGAGTACACACTGGGGGAGTGGTGACCCCAGTGAGACCGTGATGGTAATGATAGTGATAATGATCGTAAATGTGATAATAATAATTTAACAGATTTTTATACGAATATATATATATATAATATATATAATATATTATATATATATATATATATATATATATATATTATAAAGCCTTACCTTTTGAACATTATTATAAAACCATCAATATTAGCATTCTAACATTATTATCGAAAACACGAACATTATCAACATTTTAACTTTATCGTCAACAGCTGATCATAAACAACTCTATTAACATCCGAGCATTGTACTCGTAAACACCACAATTATCAGCATTCTAACATGATCACAAACATTTCATCATTAACTCTTAAACACCACAATTATCAGCATTCTAACATGATCACAAACATTTCATCATTAACATTACGATTCTCTCTCCAACAGCATCAAGAATCTGGAGTGCCAGAAGGATTCGGATTGTGATGACACTGACAAATGCTGCTTGGTTCCTGGTGGGTTATCTTGCGTTGAGCCAGAGGTCGGATCGGATGAGGAGATGAGGAGATGAGGAGATCATGGTAGGTTGATTTATTCTTATTGTTACTTGTTTAGGGAGTGTGAGGGAGGAAAGTGCGTTATTCTTATTTTCGGAGGTGGGGGGGGGAGAGGGAGGAAAGTGAACATAAGTGTGGAAAAGTATCTGTGTCGGATCTGGTTTTGGAATAGTCTGCTATCCATTCGATATTTGGGTACAAGCTTTCAGTTTTGAAAGTAAGGAAATACTTTCCGGGTTTATAATTTCGTATGAACTTATACAAAATAATGGACATGATATTTGTTCTTTTCTCGTTTTCAGGTTAACAGACAGTTCCAGAAGATTCGATTGTCTCGGAGATAACCATGGTTCAGAATGAGCACACACACAGTGGCCGCAGCCTTGTTTCCAGAAGACTGTGTCGATTTATAAATTGATTTGCCGTCTGTAATGGTAGAGATTGTTGATCCTTCAGAATAAAATTTGATTAATCCTGTTTGATTCGTAATGGATTGCCTAATATGCCCTATCTGATATGTTTGTTTATATATATATGCAATTAAATATATTTTATATATATGTGTGTATGTGTGTACATATATAAAAATAAGTATATAAATATGTTAAATATGGGTGTGTAATAGTTATCTTAGGCATAAGGATTGAAAATCAGAATGTAAGGTTTAGAGGACGAAAAAATGATCAACCCAGTAAGAGGTGAGGAGAGACGAGCGCGTTGGCAAGAAGGAGAAATGTTTTTCAACATTTCAGAACATAAAAAAGCAAAACAAAAGGCTGTCACTACAAAGAGGTGTATATGTTTGGCCTTCGAACCGATTTTGTAAACCTATCCACCGTAACGGAAAACAAACATTTTTTATCAAACCGTGTGCCATTAACCCCCGCAAGTATTCTGTTACGTCATACGACTAATAAATATAAGTGCAGATCCCTTGCACCGTCAGTCTTGCAACGGAATCGTCTGATCCACATTCCTCAGTCATGTCTTCAACTGCAGTTCGAGTGTGTGCTCTTCTCGTCGTGTTGATGTACAAATCAACATAAAAGTAATAAAATGTTTTATAACTATTAGTCAGATTATTCTTTTGTTCTAACCATGCATGGCTTGAGCATATTCTAAAACCCATGCATTTACTTATTTCAATATTCTATAGACCATGCATGGCTCGAGCATATATAGCATATAATCCAATGTATAATATAGTTTACTATAAACACATAGCCTTTGGTTACACCAGCAATATATTACCCAGGTGCAGAACTCGTGGGCAGGTCGTCCTCGAGAGAAGCCAGGTTTCTGTCCTGCCTTCCCAGCACCTCCTCCTCCTCCCGGAGGCATGTGAGTTATTTATATATCTATTCATTTTTTGTTTTCCACTGCAGTGTGGATAGATCAGGAATAGAACGAAATTACAAATAATGTAAAATATGTGCAAATCGTCAAAAACACGATCGCAGATTAGGTTAAGGAGATAAAACCGACTGGCTCCTAACTCCCCCATTTCCTTTATCTCTTACAGTGACTTCTCTCCCGACAAGCTGGGTTTTGAAAGAAAAGGCTGCAGGGGTGATTATGAGTGTGAAGGTGATCTGAAATGCTGTGCAGCTGGAGTTTGCTGTTACTTTTTCTGTACGAAGCCGCTGGATAGGCCTATGTTTGGATAGGCCCACTGGATAGGCCTATGTTTGGATAGGCTCTTTCAGTAGTTCTGAAACCAAGTGATCTCTCTCAGCATCAAAGCGTGGATTCCCATTAATATGTGTGTAAATACCCGAACCTATTTTCGCTTTTTCGCGTAAATTCTTGTTTCTTATTCAATGATAATTGTAAACAGTCTCTTACGAGATCATTGATGAATATGTCACGTTAAGGTCAACAATTGGACGTGCCCCCTGCATCATTTGTGAGGCCCCTGCATCCCAAAATCTGGATAGGCCTAATACAAGTAAACCAACTGCTCTTTGAGTAGTGCTGAAACCAACTGCTCTCTCTCAACATCAAAGCGTGGATTCCCATTTTATATGTGTGTAAATACCCGAACCTATTTTCGCTTTTTCGCGTAAATTCTTGTTTCTTATTGAATGATAATTGTATCTCTTACGAGGTCATTGATGAATATAAGTCACGTAAAGAAATCCAAACGATTAATTATAGCCCATCAATCAATGGGCCTTTGATTTCATTTGTATTAAGATTTATGAACTCTTTTGAGACTAAAGATAAGCATTATTCCATTCTGTATAATCTTATACCACTTTCATATGCATTTCATAATAAATTATCCTCTAGATAATCCGTAAATGTCCAAATAAGGAGTTACAAAATGAAATAGAAAATATAATACCAGCATTAATTATCTGGTAGGCTTTGTAAACACTGAGAAGGTAAAACAGTGTGTGTCTTGAAGTTACATTTCTCTCCCAGTGCACTAGACTCTGAAGTTAGTTTTCCGAATAGAAAGTGACTTTTGACATGCACATGACATACTGGTTTAGAAGGTACGTGATTAAACTACAGGTTTAAGTCAACGCTCCTCATTAAAAGAAAAACAGAAAGGAGGTAATGTGAGAGAGATGAAATACAGCCATTGTGGAAAAAAATAAAACCCGAGACTGTTTCGATATGTTCCCCATTTATTTGCACATCCTAATGAAGTAGAGAATATATGCGGATTTGTGTGTGTGTTTGTATGTATATATATGTATATATATATATATATATATATATATATATATATATATATATATATATATAAAAGAAAAAAAAAGGAAAAAATATAGTTTAGATACAAGGAAAGGTTTAGTTTCCATTTGGGAAATCCCTTGCACGTGGGAGCCTCCGGGCACAATGCATGAATGATAATACTTGCTTTGCTTCCTGATGGTCATCGACACAATATTTAAGTCTACCTCGCTGTTGCTGCCAACATGTCGAGTCTGCGGGAAGAGGGACCTCTGCTTCTCGTCTGTGAAATGGCCTCGTTCGCAATAATTTTGCGTGACTGGCAACAGCCTCTCACTTTAAACACATGGCTCGCTGATAGCTCCGCCGAAACATAGTGCAGCGTATTTCCTATTTTTATTCAGTGTAATAAAACATTACTTGTTGGACTTAGCGCTGCTATTGTTTGTTTATTGACTGAATAATAAAGTCCTATATATATGGTCTCAATATTTACTCAAAAACTCCTATAGACCGATTCGGTAACGCCTAGCAACCGCCCCTAGCAACGAGCACTTGGTGAAAACAAACCTTGGCTCGTTCAAAAAATCACTGCACTTTGCTTACAAAGTAGCTGAATTTTTCTGAGAATTTCGTTTCTTTGCGTGAAAATGCCAAGGAACTGTGTTGTCGTTGGTTGTTCGAACCAAAACGTGATGGGAAAGAAAGGTTTAACCCTTCATATATCTCCAGATCGCGAAAAGAAACCTGAATAATGGAAGCGATGGGGAGGCCTACAGGCCATGAAACACATGAACGCTGATGGGAGTGCTTGGTCGCCTGGTGGAAAATGTTTACACCTGCCCAGAACATTTTATTGATCTACATATTAATATATTACACCTTTTCAAATTTCAGAGACAGATAATTACTTTCAAACTCTTGTCTATCTACACTACCTATCAAGGCCAAACAAGATCCGACATTAGTTTTGGCAGTAGTCATATATTCTAAAAAGCACAAAAGCAATTCTATTATTTTCATTTTATTCCTTTTTTGTAATAAATTGATTTATCATAATTTATATTTACAGGGCATCCGCATCCACTTCACCCAGACTTTATCCCAAGTGCCTTCAAGCACTGTACATTAAATGAAAACAAAGCAGGTATACAGTTGCCTGTTGCCTTTGTGTCTGAAATGTCATTGGTCCAGCAGAAGAAATAACTGAAAAGGGCCTATCTCTTGAGGTCAAATTATTGAGGAGAGAGAAAAATGCGTTGTGCGCTTTTAGGCCTATACATGACTTCATTGTCTCCTTTGTGTAAACACCTAGTAAATGGGAAGAAAAGTGATGTAAGGAAATGCACTGATTTCACAGAAAAATACTCTATATAGCTAAACGTCATACTTTACTGTAGCAAATTATGTTATTATAAAATTATTATTATCACCATCTGCTTTATTGATAAATTTCGGTATGCATATTCTTTTAGCTACACAGCTTCTAGTTTTGCTTCATATCACCTTTTCGCTTCGGTTTTTGAGGAATCAAAGAATTCATACACCATTTTTCTTCACGTTGATAGCGAGGTATCTGCGAGCGACGGGTTGTTTTCACCAAGTGGAATGGCGACTCCGACTCGTGACGTCACAACGAATCAGTCTATTCTCTTCAGAGCATTATAGAAAATATCTAAAAAAGTTATGATAATTTCCAAGAAATATATGCAAATGAATTTAGAGGTTTAGCATTTGCTAATTCTATCCATTGCCATAGCATTTTTTTTTTTTTTTATGGAAAAAGATATCCAAGTAAACAAGCAGAAAACATAAATATCTAAGAACAATTTATGTATCATCATTATTTTGGCGGGAGAAGCGATAACAGTTTTGATAAGAAACGGTTTTTTTTTTTTAACGGTGTTCACCGGTCTCCCAATTGCTTCTTCGCCTCGACAGAAAAAAAAGGTTTTGTCTTTATCACTACGAGCTTCTATAAAACCATATTTGCCTCCCTATAAATTTTGTACGTGTGAATAGCCACTTATCTATGTTCTGAAATAAAATATTCTGAAAAGTGCCACCCATTCAACATCACAGTTTATCCTCTGCCTATCAATCAATCATTCAAAATTCATAAATCTCTGTCCAACCCCAAACAAATTCATTTGTTTCCTAACACGGTTTCGCAACGACCATTTTCGCCATAACACCGGCTCTCGTGGATAAAAGGGCAGCGCTTGGCCCCTTGATGCTTCAGTTCAGATCCGTCCTACGTCGCTTGCTCATCCGGCACAGTTGGTTAGGAGTTCCATGATGACTTTTCGAGGAATAAGTGTGTGCGTGGTGTTTGTCGCCGTGATGCTGATGACGGTTGGTTTTGGATTTTTAGCCTTTTAGCATAAGTTTTTCATGGATTTATTCTTGTGTAATGTATATTGTGTGTATATTTATGCTGTATATGTATGTGTGCATGTGCATTTACATGTGCGTAGGTATGCTTCTTAATCAATCAAGAATATCATAAATCCGACAACCAAGGATATAGGATCTACTGCACCCATTCCTTTCTGTTCCCCTTTCCTAACTCTGCCGGCGTTAGTGCTCTGCCCAGACGAGCACCGAACAGGAAGTTGAAACGGACTCCGTGAAACCCGGTTCCTGTCCTCCTATCACGGCGTCACAGCTTGTACAGCAGGGGTAGGAGGATATTTTTGTCTTAATCTCGTTCTTATTCTTACTTTCTTATTATTGTTCTTAATTCTTATGAGTATCCATGTTAGTTTCCTTAAGGCACAAAAAATGTCTTTCCTACTAATGACACGTTTACCATTAACAAAATGATCATTGTCGCAATTTTTTATAAAGACACTGTTGCCATGATTGTCAATATCATCTATTAATGTCTTCGATATTATGTTTTCAGACCACGGTTATTATCAGTGGTATTATCACCATCTTCACCCTCACCCTCACCATCACCATCACTATCATGCAATCCATCACTGTTATCATGCTTAAGTATCAATCATTATCACTGTCGTTATTGACAATTTTTTGTTATACTATTTTGCTTCTATCTTTTTTATCACATTATCATGCAGCCGCAGATCTTGGAAAATTCTGACACTGTGAGAATACACACTGGGGGAGTGGTGACCCCAGTGAGACCATGATGATAATGATAGTAATAATAATCGTAAATGTGATAATAATAATTTAACAGATTTTTATACGAATATATATATATATATATATATATATATATATATATATATATATATATATATATATATATATATTTACCAGAAGCGTGGCTTAGCCTTTTGAACTTTATTATCATAAACACCAACATTAATAATCTATTATTATCATAATCACCAAATTTATCAACATTTTAGCATTATCATAAAACCATCAATATTAGCATTCTAACATTATTATCGAAAACGCGAACATATTAACATTTTAACTTTATCATCGTCAACAGCTGATCATAAACAACTATCAACATCCGAGCATTGTACTCATAAACACCACAATTATCAGCATTCTAACATGATCACAAACATTTCATCATTAACTCTTAAACACCACAATTATCAGCATTCTAACATGATCACAAACATTTCATCATTAACTCTTAAACCACCACAATTATCAGCATTCTAACATGATCACAAACATTTCATCATTAACTCTTAAACACCACATCAGCATTCTAACATGATCACAAACATTTCATCATTAACTCTTAAACACCACAATTATCAGCATTCTAACATGATCACAAACATTTCATCATTAAAAACACCCACAATTATCAGCATTCTAACACACAAACATTTCATCATTAACATTACGATTCTCCAACAGCATCAAGAATCTGGAGTGCCAGCAGGATTCGGATTGTGATGACACTGACAAATGCTGCTTGGTTCCTGGTGGTTTATCTTGCGTTGAGCCAGAGGTCGGATCGGATGAGGAGATGAGGAGATGAGGAGATCATGGTAGGTTGATTTCTTCTTATTGTTACTTGTTTAGGGAGTGTGAGGGAGGAAAGTGCGTTATTCTTATTTTTTTCGGAGTGGGTGGGGGGGGGTGGGAGGAAAGTGAACATAAGTGTGGAAAAGTATCTGTGTCGGATCTGGTTTTGGAATAGTCTGCTATCCATTCGATATTTGGGTACAAGCTTTCAGTTTTGAAAGTAAGGAAATACTTTCCGGGTTTATAATTTCGTATGAACTTATACAAAATAATGGACATGATATTTGTCCTTTTCTCGTTTTCAGGTTAGCAGACAGTTCCAGAAGATTCGATTGTCTCGGAGATAACCATGGTTCAGAATGAGCACACACAGTGGCCGCAGCCTTGTTTCCAGAAGACTGTGTCGATTTATAAATTGATTTGCTGTGTTGAGTAGAGATTGTTGATTCAGAATAAAATTTGATGATTAATCCTGTTTGATTCGTAATGGATTGCCTAATATGCCCTATCTGATTTTTTTATATATATGCAATTAAATATTTTATATATATGTGTATGTGTACATATATAAAAATAAGTATATAAATATGTTAAATATGGGTGTGTAATAGTTATCTTAGGCATAAGGATTGAAAATC